ACAATGGATATGCTTTTGTCATGTATAATTACAAAACAATAAACCATTAATATTAAGGAATTAGTGCAGTTTCAAATCAATCCAACAAAAATTAATCTTCTAGTCACTTGCATAGGCCTCATCACTTGAAAATACAACAAAGTCATATTCAAGAGTAGAGTTGTTGCCCAGCCCTGTTTCAACTTGAGCATGGACATCAAATGCATCTTCTTCTTCATCCACATCAGCTCCCAACTTCCAAATAAGTTTGTTCACTATTGTCAATGAACAAAGGAACCCCGAATCCAAACAAATATACAACCTAGCAGGGAAACATGTCCAATTAAAATTAATTTCATAATTCCAAACTACATCAATGTACATATCAAAAAAGAATCGAGAGGTGAAAAGATCACAAAACAGAGAAGATAGAGAGGCTTAACAATCAACAAGAAACAAGATACAGATATAAGTACTTGCAATTGTATGCCTTTCCATACGAGAAACAGTGTCTGATGAATATAGGCCCAAAATACCCATATCTCTAGATTGCTAGGCGATGAAATTAGGTCACAGCTAAAATCAAGCTCAAAGAATGCAGAGTATTGCAATTAATGGTACAATTTACAAAGGAGACTGCACTACCATCAGACACCAGTAATTCTGTGGTTAATAAAGTATAGAAAATACCTTCAAAAACAAATCCAGACCAACAATGGGAGCTGAGACAACAAATGTCCGTGTCAAAGCTTCCAAGCCACTGGCATAATTTCCTTGGAGCAAAAAGGCCACCAAACTTCAAGAAACAGCATCCCAGATGTTGTAAACAACGATAAGACATTCAATGCCATTTCCTTTGCAGGATCACATCCCTATGCCTTTGTAATAACGAAACTATTTATTTGTTAGCCATCCAAGAAGGGAATGGAAAGAATATAGGTGTACAACTTGCAACTAGACACAGTCTTTCTTCCTCAATGCATATCAAGTTTATAAATATCAAAAATAATGGGTTGCTATCTAATTGCACAATTCAGTAGTAAAACTTAACTTCACACTGTTATACACTGCATAAGCCCTTCATTACATAATCATTAGTAGTTTAGTTATAACTTAATCAATTCTCGAGTCTCCAAACACACTTACGAATCATGCAAGTAATACCACGACGGCTAAAGAAGCCCTCACAACAAGCTGCACCTGCCTCGGTTCTATCAGGAATGTCCTTGAAGTTTTTGAGATCAACCTTCTGGTCTTTACCAACACTAACATGCCCACCCCGGCTCACACCCAGAAACCCACGAGCTTAAATTACAATTCTTGTTAGGCCTCAAAAAAATGGTCCCCTGTAATCCATCATCCTGCTTAGAGAAGCTCTCAAAGTATAATTTTATCTCAGCTGCTGTGCACAACGGCTGCATCATATCTCCTATATTCCCATACATTAGAAATGTAAGAAGCGAGGCATGCATAAACAGAGTTAAAGATATGAATTTGGCTGAAGTAACCTTGGGTTTTTCTGGCACATTTGGACAAGAAACTTTGTATCTTTTGAGAAATTAAATGCCTCATTCCAATCAGCATCCCTGCAAATGAAAAGAATGCACTGCACCGTCACTGCTCCATGAAATGCTTCACAGAGTAAAGTCACTAAGTTCCTATCCTGTGATCTAGAGCAAAATGCTTGGAAATGTCATCCTTTAAGACACAGGTGAGATTGGAGAAGCAAGAGTAAACCGTGTTATTTACCGTCTGAACTCCGGCCGGATTGTTTTTAAGATCATGAACTGATCCAGACGGACGGTGGTCGTCATCATCGTCGCCTTGGCCAACAATCCGCCGCGGAAAGCTCTGGACGAGTATCCAAACAAACAAGAATCTGCATTGAGCGGCGACCTTCCTTCTTAATCATTTCTAATCTTCAACAAATCTTCTGAATTTCATAAGATTGTCGCTTGCACGTGAACAATTTCCTAGGATCGTTTCCCAAGATAGAATTTTGCGGAAATCAGAAAATTTTGTTTAGTCATTGAAAATGGAAATGTACTTTTTTTTATTGGAAGGAAGAAATGGCGGGGAGAAAGTGATGCCTAATCTTAAGGAAATATGTTGGATTTATAATTTTGACAGTTGCATATGTTGTTTCTGAGATTTTTTTTTTTAATTGATTGCAGAATTAGAGGCAGTTGTTTTTTATTTTTTATTACATTTCATTCGTATATTATATGAGTAAAATTTAAAGTCTCTTACTTTCAACAGAAGAAGATTATTACTAAACTATTTAGATTGTTAACAAAAATTTATTTCAATGCTCTTTCAATTATGTTAGTAGTTGGAATCAAAATATATGGAATTCAAACCAAACAGAAAGCACTAATTTGACTGTACTGATTTAGTTATAATTTTTTTCTTATAATTGTATAATGTAACATATTAGATGTATAATTATAAATTAGTAAGTAAATGGGTTTATTGTGAAAAAAATACAAGTAAAGGATAGGTAAGTTCCTCGTTGGGGGACTCACCCACCATTTTCAGGTGTGCGACGCGGGTCAAGTCTGAATTAGTCGGGACGAAACCCCAGATACCGGGCGGGAAACCAAAAAAAAAAGGATAGGTAAGTTTATAAGATAGCTTAGTATTATAAATATAATATTTTTATTGTTTCTAATAATTAATTCCTAGTTTAAACTCTTTTAAACTATATATAATTTTAATTAAGATAAGTGATTAATATTTATTTGTCTTAATTCTTAAATATTAAGA